AGACAGAGGTTGTTAAGCCTACAGGTGTAGAGACAAACGTTACCCCAGAATGACAAAATTCTGTTTGCTCAGTACCTAGTTTTGAGAAATTTGACATTGAAGATTTTGAGTTTCACATCGCATGTCTAGCTTTTTCGACAGCAATTCTTTGAATATATAATATTTACGAACTTTGCATTGGCTTCCTGTTGAGAAAAGGATTGTGTACAAGTTAGCCACCATATGTCACAAATGTTTGAATGATAATGCACCATCATATGTATCAAATCTGTTAAGACCGTACATTCCAACTCGCAGTTTAAGGTCATCAGCTGACAAAAAGAAATTTATTTTACCATCTATGAAACTTAAAACAATGGGTGAAAGGGCATTTGAATACCAAGGCCCCAAGATCTGGAATGATTTACCAAGTACGTTGAGAGAAATCAAATCTTTAGATTCATTCAAATGTCAGCTGAAGTCGTTTCTGTTTTTAAATTAATAAGATAAATATTTGGAATAGTTTTCTTTAGTCAGAACACAACGTTTCATGTTACTGTTGTATGTTGTACTGTATTGTAAAGCTCTCAGAGCCTGTGTACTTTATTCGGGGTTGAGCGCTATATAAATATCATTTATTATTATTATTAATATATTGAATTGATAATGATTCTGAATAATCATACAATTTTGATAGAGCAGATAGGAGGTTTCTTATCTCAAGTTTTTAGTAGCTCAAAACAACCAAAAATGTCAGACAGAACTCTGTAAATCTGAGTTAGCGAAATGGTAACATTGTGAACACTTAAAATAAACCACACAGAGCACTGGTTGGATTTTGACACCTGAAGTTTTATTTTCATGTCATAACAAAGCTCTATGCAAAATCAATCATGGTGACATGAAGTATTGACAAAAATATTACACATCTTTCTTTAAATAAAAATTTATCTCTCTCTCTCTCTCTCTCTCTCTCTCTCTCTCTCTCTCTCTCTCTCTCTGTGTCTCTCTCTCTCTCTTTCTCTCTCTGTCTCTCTCTCTGCCTCCCCCCTCTCTCTCTCTCTCTCTCTGATTCTCTCACTCTCCCTCTCTAAATTACTATAAAACACTCATTAAAACATACACACGGTTACACATGATAAATGCACAAAACCAAACAAAGTCATGATTACTTTTTACTGCAACTTTTAAAAAGATATTGATCAAAATATTTGCCCTGCAAACGTAGTGGTTAGACCAGGTCTTCTCAACTTTTGACTGACACAATGTTTTAGTGGCCTAAATGTAACATGGCTAAGCACCGTAGACTCTGATCCTTTCTCTGGGTTTGTTATCCTGATCCTATAGGACCAACTGCCCATTTCTACCAACTCTGAGAGTGTAACATTTGACAGCCTGGAACAAGCATCTACCAAGCTACACAAAATAGGGATCAAACCAGTTGGTATGGCGTGACGGGCAAGCACTCACTGCACCTCTAGGCCTACAAGTCAAATTTCACAAAATTACAAGTATGTAAGTTTTCAGATATACATGCAGGTACGTGTCCCATTCATGGCAAAGTCACAATCTTTTTACAAAGATTGTCCAAGATTATTGAAAGACCCTTGTTTTGCAATGGATGGGCGAAAAACACATAATAATAATAATAATAATGATAATAATAATAATAATAATAATAATAATAATAATGATAATAATAATAATAATAATAATAATAATAATAATAATAATAATAATAATAATAATTAATGTACTGAAAATCTCAGCATGCTGCTGGAAGATAAAAAACCAAAATAGGAAATAATATGGAAAGGATGTGCGAGTGTGCATAGGGGTTTGGAGAGGGGGAGGCTCAGAGAGAGAAAAATGGGATCTTCAGATCACATCATTCTACAAATAAAATTTAATGTAGAAGTAGCAATAAGTCCTTTCAGAGTCTCTCAGATATTAGAGCGTACAATACCTCTTACAGTTATGTCATGTCCTCCAATGCCCTTCAATTAACCCAGCTGGAAAAGAAAAGAATTATGATAGAAAACGTGTTTGGCGCTCCGATCAACAGAATTTAGACCATTTAGGAGGAGGTCGACAGCTTTGACCTGCTTGTCAGGGCCAACCCAGGTGAAAGGGATTCAAAGTCACAGCAGACAGGCGAAGATACTAGATTAAAAAAACCATTCCCACATGGGACTCAAACTCTTTGTGCAATGGCAGAGCGCCTAACAGCTACGCCACAGATGGTAGTATGAGCTGCAAATGAATAATCGACAAAGACTGATTATGCAAATAGTGGCAATGTGCAGGCTATGATGTCTCCAGTGGTGGAACTGAAGTTTAAGGTACACTTCAATATTCAATAAGCTAGATTAGATGGCTATGAGAGTTAATGTGATGCCATGCAAGTCAACCACTTATGAGCCGAGTTATACGTCAAGAACTAATCTCATTAGCCGTAGCTCGAATAGATAGAGGATAGACCGGGATAGTGATAATATAGGTTTTTGAAAGCTTCCCAACAGAGAAATAAGTGATGAACCATGACTGTTGCTGTCGGTTTCAGATCTGCATTAATAGAAGAAGAAGAAGAAGAAGAAGAAGAAGAAGAAGAAGAAGAAGAAGAAGAAG